GTCCGCTTCCTCCCGCGGCGGCGCCTCCGGCCCCCGGCCCCGGCGGGGCGAAACATCCCGGCCCCGGCCGCCCCCCTCCCGCGGGCATGCCGTACATCGACCCGGGACAGCAGCCTGTCAGAGAGGCACACGAGGTTCTTAACAGTATTCGTCCGTGTTTTATTACGTGAGGGCACAGGGAGTAACAGCGGGCGGGAAACAACACCGACGGCAGAAACGACCAAGCAGCTGCTGAGCTCTGGCCAAAAACGGAACCGGGCCGCTTCGGGGGTTTCCTCTTCGCAGCAAGCTTGTGGCTGCAGAGCTGCCAGGGGCAGAGCACGCCGGGGGTCTACGGGCCTGGAACGGGCGAGGCTGCAGCTCCCAGCAGGACAGAAGGGGGGAAAAAAACCCCAAGGACACAAAGATGGTGCCATTTTTTTTCCATCATAGTGAACAACACAGGATCGAGTAACCTTTCGGCTATAATTTCCCCCCCTCCCCCTTAAGACAGCATTAACAGCGGAAGGCTGAAGGAGGAGTAGTGGAGATGTTTTGTCTCCATGGCTGAAATCTGACCAACTCTTTCAAAGACTAAAGTTTTACATAAAGGTTGCATTTATCTCAGCTATCATTTCAAAAGCAGAAAGGGTGAACTGCTAGGAGGACCGTAAGCATAAAAGACTGAGCTTCATGCCTCTAAAACAGCATGTGCATAAGACAGAATTACTTTTTTTTTTTTTAGTATTTAAACATGCTGTAGGCAGAATGCCTTACTTGTTGGTCTTTTGGGTTTTTATCATCCTGCTGGTCTTGCACTGTGATGGAAAAGTCGTTCTTGCATGTATGGCACACAGCAGAAAAATGACCAGTTGAAGTACAGAAGATTTCAAACCATCCCTAATACAACTCAGCAAACCAAAAGAAAGTGAGTATTCCAAGATGCAAGTCAAACTTCCAGATTCACACTGTTCAATACTGACATTGCGAACACTTCAATAACTTCTAGTACAAATGTATTACTACCAATCTAGAAAATATAAAAGCTCTGGGAACACATTCTGATGGTCAAAGTTTTCTACCACCATTTTAGCAATAAGTATAAACAATGGCTTTGCCTTCCTAGCTACATTGTCCAAGTTCAAGTATAATGAAGCACTCATTTTAATAACAAAACACCCCACATTTACTCAGCTTACAATCTGAAGTGAACAAGGATATTTTAAAATGAATAGAGCCACTCTCCATCAAGCTTTTGTTTCAAAAGTCATCATTACATCATGGAGAAAACCATAGCACAGAAGTGACATTTTCCCATACATGACCAACTTAAGCCATTTGGGTCAGTAAGGCAGCAAGCATGAAGACAACAATATTCTGCTGGTAGGAATAAAAGCTCCTACCGTGCACACTTGCCACCCACAACCCAAATTCCAGTTTGGCATTCATTACAGTAAAAAAAAAAACCCAAATATTTTTGTTGTCTTAAAAATGTATTTGATGACAAATGTCCCAGCCACAAGTCACTTTTCTTTCATATGCAAGGTACAGAGAAAAACATTAGTCATGCGTTTTTATTTTTGGATACCCAAGAAGAATGTATAGTAGGAAATCAAAGTTTTTCTGCTTTTAATCTACTTTGTAAGAAAAGATTGCCCCTCTCCAGCACTACTGGCTTTTCACATGCATAGTCTAAAGCAACTGAAGTGCCAGTTAATGGAAAAGTTAGCTTCAAATGTGAGAAGTTTACTGTAACATTCTGATATTGCAAATACACCACCTTAACTGAAGTGTTTGACATTCAAACACTTGTGGTATTTCCTCCATAAATGAATATAGAGCTAGCATGTCATTAAACTAGTTGAAATCCTACATAAAACAATGGGCATAGCAGGCTAAATAAATTAGGCTAAAGCTAGCATAAAAATTAATTGCAACACAGTTCTAAGTAGTATGTGATGCATGGCTTTGTTTTCCCTTTTGTCTACAAGACACATGCACACTTAATATTTTGATTCTCTAATGTTAGAACAAGCACTTTAAGGATATGCATCATTCTGAAAAAAAATAGCCAAGACAAGTAGTAGAAAATGCATTTTATTTATATGGAAAAGGCTACATTTAGATTTGTAAAAGGTCTGTGATAGTGTTATGTTGCCCACATGTCAAAAATCAGTTGTGAATAGCAACAAAACGATTATGTATCTTTCTACATAGCAGTGCAATTAGTTCACATTGCAATAAAATTAAGTCAAGTATGCAACAGAATCAAAACCAAGTGTTTCTCCATAATCAGCGTACAAAGAATTACAGTGCAAAGATCATTCTAGGTTTTAAGAAATCTGCAGTCAGTTTTTAGAATATCCTAACGGGTGGGATACTCCAGTTACTTCATTACTAGCAGTTGTAGCTTGTCAATACTGTGCACAAGCAAGTAAGTCTAAAATGAAATGACTTACATGGTAAATAAAATATTTAGTCTATACAGTAAAAAAAATACAAATTATATAAGTGAACTAACAAAATGAAATTTGAACACACTTATGAAACGGACAACGTACTTTAAGGACACACATACAGTATTCATCACGTAAAAACAGCTACTTTTCCAGCAAAAAGAATTTGGTTGCTTTACAACTGCATTATGGATCTCGTAGTCTGAAGATGTAGATGTCCAACTCTTAAAAACCATAATAAATGTCTTCTGCAAAGCATACAAAGAGGATAAATATTCTTATCACAGTCATAAGGTTATTTTTGGAAGTTTGTTCTCCCTTGCTCCAGAAACACACTTACATGGGTGAAAAAAATTCAAGGGGCATCATGATACACTGAAACAGTAAACTGTGCTCCATTTCCTTCTAATTTTGAAAAAAACCCTAGAATTTACAGTACTCTGTGGTATATGAAAAAGTCTTCACAAGTTTACATTGCATATTTCTGAGTCCATTCTCTTGCATGTCTGTTGTATCTGTACGTGCAGAAAGAAGGCATTACAGTGAAGAGCTGTTAGTGATACATTGACAATGGCCACATATTTACTTAATACAGATGTTACTGAGCTTTTCACCTCTTAGCATTAATTCAAATAACATTAAAATAGTCTAAAAGCCAAGAAACGTATACCCACTGTACATTCTGTTTCTAAGGTTACCTATCAAAGCTATTTAGACTCAAACTCAAGACCAATCTCACAGGTTTGTATTAAAATGCGTATCATTATGCATACTTAATTTGCATTTCACAACTGGTTCCCTTATTTGTACCTTAACAGGAATTTGTTGTCAATTATTCCTAAATGTATATGCTATTAACACAGTCTGACAAAGTTCATGCATTTTAGTTGCATATAATTCAGTATAGTTAACTGGGTTTGGAAAGGGTGGGGATAAAAGGCACAGTGATTTTTTTTTATCTCCATTCTGCACTTCCATCTGCATTTCAGAACTTGAAAGGGAAATTTTCTGAAAAGCATTTTTTACTAGATTTTAAGTCTTGGGTCTTTTCCTTCTGGTATGAAGCTCATTAGCACTCCCAAAGGTAAATGTCCTTAGAGAGTCAACAACTTCCCCTCTGGTCCTTAAATTTGTTACATTCCACTCTTCAGACTAGATTCACTTTCTTCTGGGTTCTCCAGACAAAACGCTGACAAGTTTTAAATCCATTTCTTAAGATAAGTATAGCAACTCATGTACTAATTGGTTTTCTTCTTAAGAATATGCTACCATACAAGTCTTCAGATTTTTACTTCTACTAATACACCCACAGATAAATGCTCAGGGGTAACCAGCCATATCTTCCATTTCCTAAATCCAAGATGAGATTAAAATATTTAATACGTGAACAGCATAAGAAGACAAAGCTATAGTCAAGACTATAGGTTGTCTCACTTTCTCTAGCAATGATTAAATTTCGAGTTTTGGAGATAGAGAAATATCCCTTATTCCCTTCCTTCACAAACAGGAGGCACAATAGCTGAAATCGCTATTAAGGTAGTGGGTAGACAAAAGCCGAGACACAAATGGGGAGCAGCCAAGGCACAAGATCCTCAGCTTGAACACTATCTGCTTTGCAGTACAAGCTACAGAGTTCAAGAAGTGGGTTACATGATTTGATTGCATCAGACATCGAACTGTCAGAAAAGGGCCATTTTAATAATTCTTACTCTAGGGAGAGAAATACTAGACCATAGACTTCCATGGAACTTCTACATCACTTCTGCTCTATCCAGTCCTCAAGGTAAAAACAATACTCAAATCCTCATGGACCTGTATGTGTGATGAACCACAGGCTATCAGCATGCATTGCAAGGAGTCTTCAATGGCTCAGTACAAAAAAAATAGGTACCAAACAATTTCTCAATCAGTTAACCAGAAAGTCAAAAATTCTTTTGGATATCACAAACGTTCCACAAAATCTGAAGCAAAGAGTATAACAATTAAAATAGTTAACAGCAAGATTACCAAAAAGCAGCTTAAGTACCAAGGATAAAAAGCCTGCCCCAAACTAAATCTATAACCTTTTCCAAAGCTCGAAGAAGTCAGATAAACAGTGCTGGTTAGGCCATCTATGAACGTACTGCACAGCTATGACTATTTAATTTATTTTCAAGGCCATCAGAAAATTTGTGGCAGATTCATTTTGAGGAAGGTTATTCCGTTCTTGGCAAACGAGGACTGGATGTATTTGGAAAACCTTAGAGACTCCTACTCCTCATTACTATCCTAAATTGATCTTGTGTTTCAGTCTGTCTTAATCCCACACACACCTAGAAAACCCACAGGTGCTAAAACCCTGTTACAGAAGACAGCTCAGGCCATGCTGATAGACTGTGGACTACATCCTGGATTGTGCTCAAAATGCCTAATAGCAGCAGAGTTCAACAAATCTCCCAGTGGTAAGCAAAATAGTATTTCCTTCCTGGATCACTGATTCTGTAACTTTTCCCATGCATAAAGTTTTTAACGTTTGTAAGCCCAAGAAAAGCAGGTAGCTGATATATCAGCAGAAAGCAGCAATGATGGAAAAATCTTACACAGGTAGTATTTCCTCCACGGAACCCTTTGGAAATCACGCAGTCTAATCTGTGGAATAAAGGGCCTGAGCTTCCTGCCACCC